CCTGACCGTTTTCAAGAGGGAAAAACCTGGAATTTTGAAGAATTAAAATCGAAGTCATTAAGATATACTTCAAAAGTCGGGAAAGCTCATTTTCCACCATTTAGAAATCAACATTTTCCCGGAAAGAACCCGAACTCCTTTTTTTTATGCATGTATACACACATAAGGCCTATTTACTGTAATAACAATGGGAAACAATTACCTGACTGTTTTCAAGAGAGGGGTAAACCTTGAATTTTGAAGAACTTAAAAGTAATTTAGACACCTCAGAAGTCGGAAAAGCTCATTTCCCGCCATCTAGGAATCAAATTTTTCCCGGACTCCCTTAATTTTGAAGAACAAAGTCATTAGACACCTAGCTCAAAAGTCGAGAAAGGTAATTTTCCAGCCATCTGCATGATTCATATTCCCATTCATCTTATAAGTCCCCCCACCCCCACTTTGAAAAACGTTCCGCCGGCCCTGTTGCATAGTCAGAAAAGACGCTGGATGGGAAAATGGAAGGTAAGAGAGGATTAGGAAGACCAAGAACTGCTTGGACAGGAAACATCAAAGGATGATGTGACATGTCATTACGTAAAAAGCGTCATTACAGAAAAAGATGGCGATCCATGTCAGCCAAGCTGCTTGAAGCAGAGGACAGCAACAGGAAGTAACAGGAAGTAATTCCTTTTGTCCCTTTTTTCTGCTTTTGAAAAAAAAAATGAAAATACAAGAAAAAAAAGTGTAGTTTAATATTTGAAGTAGGCCTACACTGTCGTGTCGATGTGCTATTGAGCATCTTTACGGATATGATGGATACTGGCGCACAAACAAGATTACTATTATTACTGTATTACTATGGAAATTATATATAGGCCTAAGTTCAGTATATCCAGTAAAGAAAATCATCACAGATTATGGGGAAACCAAATCTGAACCACCAGCATGAAATGTACATTCGGTAAAGAAATCCAGTAACAAATATTAGATAAATAATGTTTAGTACAAGGGGCGAGTTATCAGGTTATCAGTTATTTGGCCTGGAGGCCTAGTGGAGTGGCTCCGGACTATTTGGCCGTGAGGCTTGACAGCATTCCACAGCATCCTATGACTACCGGAGTAATAGCTTAGGGCCCGGTGCAAAAGTACACTCGAGCTTGAAAGAGTCATGGTTCCGTAATAATACTAATAGTCAAAAATAGAAAGACAATAATGGTGGCTCGGATCCAATTAAGAGGTCAATGTTCGGAAGATCATTGGTTTGCAATGTAAATCTGTGTTAACTATCATCATCATCATCATCATCATCATCATCATCATTATTATTATTACTATTATTATTATTATTAATAATAATAATAATAATAATAATAATAATAATAATAATAATAATAATCATTATTAATATTCCATTTTCAATTTCCTCACTTATGTTATTAGGAACATTACCTTATTTTGAAAGTTTGAATTGTTCTAAATTGAATTATGTATTTAAAATAGAAATTTTACATTAGTTTGATTGACATGGATCTTACCCCAACAAACATAAAAATCACTTCCGAAATCAATCTTGCCCACCCCAAAGCAACACAAATACTATCAACGCCAACACGGAAACCAGTGTGCTAAAAAAATGTTGTCCACCTATAATTTTACTCTTTTTAAAAATAATTTATAGTAACGGCTTTGAAATGAATTGAGGTGAGGTGTCTAAGCCCTGTCCATACTGTCAAATTTTATTGGACAAAAACATGTCAATTGTCTAAATATGGTTATTATGACTTACAACATACATTTAGCATACAACACGTTTTTGTCAAAGAGAATGTTGCGGGCTTTGTCAGCTTTTGGCAATTCTTGATAAAATACAGTTTAATTTGTTTCTTGTGTGTCATTGTGTAGATGGATTTGATAGTCTTAAATACAACATTGAATAATAAACAGTCCTTTATAATTATAATTATTCTTATAAACTAATTATAATGATTATGTTTTATTTTCTAAATATCGTTAATAACAATTTTTTGATGTTTTGTACTTATATCCACCTAATATTATAATCCCAATTTTTGAATT